GAATGTCCTCGTATGTCTAGTATGAAGAAGCCTGGCCCACGATCAACACGCCACGTGCAACATGCTCAGACCCAGTGTCCCAAAACAGAAAACAGGCGGATTGAGGCTTTTCTGTCCTTTCCCTTGGGACGCTAACAGCTGGATCCAGAGGCAGTTAATGATATATATGTACGGGATTGCAATGTTGACACTCGATTTACGAAGCTTCTGTATATCAGGGTAGCACGGACAACAACAATAGGCAAACAGGAAGCCTACCTAGAATATATCCTCCGCCAAATCATGGTTATATATCACTTCCCCTTTGCTCATACAGAGCAATAGTACCTAGGGATGAATGTTTGTTTGCCCGGAATGGTTAGGTGCGGTGAACAAGCTACTTTATTTCAATGGTTGCCTTGTCTGTGCGACTACGAGACTGCGGCCCATTGCCCCCTTCCATTGTAGCTACTGTACCTAGCAATATCGACGAAAGCGATCCGATTTGAACCAATGACATTGCATATCAATCTCACGAACCCCTTCAATGAACGGTCTGATCAGGACTGACCCTACTACGGAGTACGAGGTATCTTAATGCAATCGAGCAGCTTCCCATAACCCATGTCAAGGTGGATTGTTGCCCGGGTAAAACCGCCATGCAACTGTGCTGCCCCGTGCACTGTCCAACGACCTGAGCGGGTGTAGTACTCGGATGCCTTAGGCACATAGCATTAGCTTACCAGTTGACAGTTCCAATCAGTTCAAATGGGAAAATTGCGATCGCCGTCCGGTGTCATTGCGCAACCATGTCTGGGTTGAAGCTTACATCAGAGGTCCAGAGCTTGTGACCACATAAATGGCCAGGCTTCGCGCGCATGTTTGCCTGCTACTTTGAGTCGTCCGAAAAGCAACGGCCCTGCGAGATTCTAGGAGTGTTATGGCCACAGCCTCTCCCTGACTGCCTCCGCCGTGATCATAAGATGCCTACGGAGTATTGTTAGGCCATCCCCTATCACCCTGTAATCGTTAGTCGCCTATCTACGGAGTATAGTATGATTGAACGAAGTGACCGCGGAACGGAGATGGTCATCATCGGCATGGCCGAAAATGTTCGTCTCAGATTTATTCTCTTTATTACGCAGTTCAGTGTCATCGCTGCTGACGATGACTCATGCACAGAGCAAATGATTCATTATTAACTGAATTCGTCTTCGTGAGTTGTAGTAGATTATTAAGATTCTGCTCAAGCAACAAGAAAATCTCGCAGAGTCAGACTGACAAACAGGTTGACTGTGCGTCCGGACGAGATTCCTGGATCGATAACTGCGCTGAAATCTTCATGTATGGTGTTAGAGGCGCTATGCAAAGATGTCTGAGAGTGACAAACTGTCGAAATTATTGCAAGACACTAGCTGAATCCTCTTGGTACTCTAAAGGAATGTTCCATGAACTGTGATGGCTTGAGAGGGGCATAAAGTCGAATCGGAAATGCCGCCCTTTAGTGACGCTTCGGTTTTGTTATTCAAGGGCCGCGGCAACAGATTCTAGCCTTTCCAGGGGAGCCGCGCTTTGGCTTCTCGCCAAATGGCAGAGTATACGCGATCTGAGGATAGCCAAGGCAGCAGTTGGATGAATCGTAGCAGGAAGTAAGGCCAGGCATATTGAAGCAGCGTGGGGTGTCAGGACAAGTAGATTCGCATCTAGACAACAATCACGTTAGCGCTATTCCCTATTCGAACCCGAGGACGTACCTTGGATTTGACGACTCCACGACACATAGGGCAAAGGGGCCGTCCCTTGACCCGAGCTTGATCGAGTCGACTGGACGGCATGTGCTGCTCAGCGCACCAGCGGCAGAGTATTGCGTGACCGCATGGGATTATCACGGTATCCACGAGTTGACTCATACAGATCTTACATTCCAGATTGACGGTCAATTCTTTGTCTTCTTTGGGTTTGGGGCGACCATCCGTCGTGTCATCGAGGCCTTTGGGAGTCGGTGGCCCACGATCAACGATGCCGTCGTCATCAAGCGAGTGCTGTCGGTGACTTCCATGGACGACACTACCAGTGCGCATACTGCTTGTGTATGCCTGCAGCTCCGCCAATCGTTGGATCCGGACATGATCTTCGGGTGTGAGATACGTGAAGTAATGCGGTGCTCCGATTGCCATCGCAGGACTAGGGCTTGTGGCAGTCGCCACCGCCGGCACTCTGGGCACTTGAGATGTCGAGAGGCGACGTGGGAGCTGCGGATTCGTCTCACCTGCAGGGCGCGTGCGTCGACGTGTAGTCTGGCCGACGGATGGAGAGTGCTGCTGTCCCGGCACTGAGCTTGCGGTGGAAGAGGAGCTCTGCGTCCGATGGTGCCGTCTGGGCTGGTTGGTCACCGGTGAAACGCCCCATTGCGGAAATGGCATATAGGGATTGGGACGGGTGTACGACGGTGGAGAATAGACAGGTCTATATCGCACACCACCGTAATGCTGAGTCTCTAAATGTGCGGGAATATTGACCGTATCTGGTGGTGTCATTTGGTAGGCAGGCGCTGTCACATCCTGTGATCCTGGGGCCTGCAAGTTGGATCTCTGCTGCACTGCGACCTGGTGACTATTTTGAAACAACGATCCCGGTGGTTGAACAGGAGCCGTCCGTATATGAGAATAACTGTGTCTATTGAAATCAGCGACATAATGCGGATCCCAGTAACGCAGGCTGGCTTCTTGATGGCTCCGATTCTGGTCAGTCATATCTCCCCACAGGGAGTTCTGGCCTGCTATAACCTCCCCATGGGTTTGCTGGGTCCCTGCATCCATCCCAGTCCTTGTGTCCTGGGAATTGAGTGGCGGGAAGGCGAGATCTCCATCGTGTATCAAAGTGAGGTACTCATCAGCAAGTGAAGTTGCAAACGGATTGGTACTTGAATCTTCACAAATTGTTTAGCCTAAGACATTGGCCCCAACTGAGGTTACGGATACTCACTTTGACCGTCGAAATGAGGATTCGTAGAAGCGTCAACGGCACCTGATGCGTTATTTTGCGCGATCATTCGCGGGTCCACAGCCCCATGACTGCCGGGATCCCGCATGTTTGAGAACGTTGGAGGCGCCATATTGCTGGGGTCCTCGAAAGTGGAATGAGATAAATGCACATCCATGCTCGAAGGGATCAATTGATAGCCCGGGTCGCAGGTGTACTGCGTTGCGGGTTGGTAAGTCAGTAGCGTTTCGCTCAGGAGCTGCAAGTGGTTTAGAATTCTCGTGATCCCCTGATGGATGGCGTGCAGTTCCTCTCGAAGATTATCGATGTTATCGTGGCGAGATTTTCTGCGATAGGAAGATCTCGTCGGCTCTAGGGAGATGGAAGGAGGAAGGGTGGAAGAGATATCGAAAGACAGACTGCATGCGTTGGCACTTGCAAGATACGCCTCAGCAGGGTATTCTGGTTGACTGTGAATGAAAGCCTGCCTGCCGGGACGGCTAGATGAAGAGTGAAAACTCCAGTATTCTAAATCACAAGGGCTCAAGCCAGTGAGTAATTGCTCTAGTGAATGAAGCAAAGCAGGCAATAAATACACTAAACAAATATGGTCAAGCGACTATAAGCAAAGCTGCACATAATAACTAAACACAAAGCACTCAAGGAACTAGTGCATGAACGAGCTGACAAGGTTGGGAATGGGGGGAAAGAGAAGACGGACCCTGGCACTTCCAACAGTACCTTGTAGAAGCAGTTGTGGTATGCCTCGGTGTGTTGCCGGCATTTGCAGACGACAAGATCCTCCCATAAGAAGCGCTCGGATGAAAGTCCAGACAGGAGCAGCAGACAGGTGAGCTCAGGTGGAGACAGCCGATGGCATGCTTATGGATACAACTGGGATTGTTTGATAGAGAAACCCAGGCTAACATGATTCAAAGTGGTTATAGATAATGTGCAGATGGGGACAGATAGCCTTATTCCAACCAGATTCTGGCGTACTACTGTGACAGTGTCAATATTAGTCACAATGCAGACGGCGGACACGTCCCCAGTGTCTTCTTAAATAAAGTGAAAAGCATTCGATCATTCGCCTAAGCCAACGATATCAATTGGCTGGAAATCATCTTGTGGATTAGTCTTAAGCGGAGCTCGGAATCAGGACCCTTCAAGGCCGGCAAGGCCCTACAGAAGGGGGCGAAGAAGAAAGCAATAAGGAGGATGGAGATGAGAGGTAGAAGGAAGAGTGAAAAGAGAGCCAAAGAGTCCTAGGAGGCAACAGCAGTTTTGCCCTAATACTGCAGCCAGCCCGGTGAGAACTAATAATGGCTGAATGACACGCAACAGCAGAGCAGGGTCTCCCGGAGTTATTCGACACAGGCCCGTGGATGTTGCCTGAGCAGGATCCTTGATAGTAATAGTAGCCAGGCAGGAGCCAAACGGAGCAAAAGTACGACCGTAACACACAAGGGATCTCTGACGTCTGGGCAACGTTGACGAGATCGAGACCGTACCGACCGTCCAGCGAAGTCGGGAAGATGCGCGAAGGACGGGTCTGCACTGCGCCGCATCCAAAGATGGATTGGGAGGGGGGGGAAGGGAAAGAGAACCTCTAGTATTAATAACGGATGATGAGGGGAAGGCAAGCAAGGAATGGACAGAATCATAAAAGGACATGTCCAAAGCCGTCCAATGATCAAAACCGCCAACTGTGGCGGGTGGCAGGGAATTGGAAGCGAGAGGAGCTCCGTAGAGCAAACGAAGCTCCTTTGGCGGGTGTCACCATCTATCGGACCCCGCAGGATGATTGATCAGAGAGAGTTCTATGGCTGATCTCACTCCGTAGACACGTAAACTAGATATCCGGGATCAGGTATGTAGGTAAGGTAGATTTTTATCAGCCGAGGAAGAGACGAGTAATGATCGATTGGTTGACCCATCCGCGTAGTCCGTGATCCTAGTGCTACCTACTACTGTAGTTAGAATCGCTTAAAGGGGAATGGTTTGGACTGATTATTATTATCGAAGAATGAAATGATGGTGATAAGACTGGACGGAAAAAGAACTTGTAAGGAGATCCCACGGAGCAAGAGGAAGCGAACACGGGGAGTAATTCCCGCAGCAATCCGTCGACGTCATTTCTCGCTGTCTCTCATTCTCCACTGAACTCTATCATCTTGCTCGGATGTTTTCCCACCGTTTCCTGGCGCGAGACGGTTCATGTGATGGTCTGTTATCTGTTTGAGATTCCTTGGATCACGCTGTTCATCTTGTGGTAAGCAGACTTGCTTCTCACGAGTCCTTGATTAGCACACGCGATTCATGAGAAACAGGCTGTGGCTGTCCGTGCGGCATCTGCATCCGCATCCAACCTGCTTCTCCAATCCCATCGCACCATCAGTCACAATCAGGTCAATGTCGAGCTTCACCATTCCTCTTCATGAGGGCAATGGATCAGGGTCTGTGCCTGTCCACTCTCTTAATGATTTGAGCAAGGACGATCTCCAACGTTTTCCAGCCTTTCAGATCTGGCTTTCCACCCTTCAGCGATCGTTACAGCGACAACACAATCCGTCCCACGAGTTCAACCACAACCCCTATGTTTTACGGAAGATCAATGTTCAATCTGTTGATTACTTCAAGGGCGGCAGATTGGGGTTCGTTAAGCTCAAAGCAGAAGTGTCCAATGGAAATGGGGAAACTCTCCCGGGAACGGTCTTTCTGAGAGGTGGTAGTGTGGGAATGTTGGTAAGAATGACAACATCTCATATCTATACGATGCGAATCAGATTACTGACCATCGTGATACGTGTGCGATAGATGATTCTCCAGCCCGACGATGTGCCTTCGTCGAACGAGGAAGAGAAGAGGGCGATTCTGACCATTCAACCCCGAATCCCAGCTGGCTCCCTAGCTTTCCCCGAGATCCCAGCCGGTATGATTGATGACAGTGGAACATTCGCCGGAGCAGCCGCAAAAGAGATAGAAGAGGAAACAGGATTGACAATACCCCAAGGCGAACTTGTCGATATGACCTCTCTGGCGCTGCAATCGATTGCGGAGCCAAAGGACGGAGAGTCTCTGCAAAGGGCAGTCTATCCATCACCGGGGGGAGCGATGAGTTTATCCCCTTGTTTTTGTGCCAAAAGAGAATGCCGCGCAAAGAGATCGAGAGTCTACAGGGACGGCTGACGGGTTTACGCCAGCATGGAGAGAAGATCACATTGAAGATTGTGCCGTTGAGAGACCTTTGGAAAGAGGCATTGCGAGACGGCAAGACACTTGCCGCATGGGCACTATATAACGGCCTGAAGCAGGATGGAAAGATTTAAGAATGGCTCAGCATTGTCGCCAAAGCCGATAGCAAGATTGGCACCTGCAGTGTCTACTCCGTAGATTATGGATAAGTATCTATCGACACGAATGCATCCTCGATCTCGTCTATATGCAGGACGCAGCCAGATACGCCAAAGCGGTGAATGAAGCGCACAATTAAAGCTTCAACTTCTTCGCCAGTTCGATGCCCTCTGCTAATGTTCCCACGCGGGCATCAATGGCATATCCCTCGGCTTCGAGTCTCTTCAACTCGGAGAACAATGTACTCAAGGGCAATGTGAAGCACTCGATAAACTCATTGTCCTCGAGTTGCGGTTTCGGATCCTGATTTTCAGGAAGTGACAGATCCACACGCACATGAACCATATTCAGATTAGTGTTACACATCCCCGGATCTGTGATACCTTCAGTCAGTGTCTTGCACCACGCCTCGGAGGGTCGAACCCGGGCTTGATCACGGAAATTTGCGCGTAGTCATCAATGCATCACTTACCATTAAACATGAGAGTGCTTGTCTGCTCTGCCACTCCCACATAGCCGGTCTCTTCCCTGAGCTCGCGCACCGCACATTCCTCAACGGTCTCACCGGCGTCGATAAGACCCGCTGGGACTTCAATGACCACTTTGTCGATAGGAGGCCTGTACTGTTTTTGCAGCAGCAATTCAGGGCCGGTTGGCTTGTCAATGATGGTCACGATTCCCACGCCATCGACCTCGCAGCCCGGTGGCCGAGTCTATCCCAGTCAGTACTGCTACGTAATATTACGCAAGGTTTCTCGGCCATGGAGTAAGATTTGCTGCTGAAGTAAGGAGAGGAAAGCCAGAAGCTGAGTCGCAATGCAGACTAGCAGTGGCATGATAGCGTCATAGCACCCTGAATGTACAGGAGCTGCACCGAGCAAGTAAAGAAATAAACTTACCTGTCTCTCTGCCGACTCCCAAGTCCTTTCCACACCATTTGGATCAGTGTATGTAGTCAGAACCAACCTAGTCCATTTGGCATTACTGTTTTCCTGTCATGCGGATCAGTCCATACTTCGTTCTTTACGCCAAGGGGTAATTCCGGCAGAATAGAAGAGGGACTGCGCGAACATTGCGCCATGACTTGGAGGCCCTCCAGGAACATCAATTGCGTACCAATGGAGCTCGTGATAAGAACTTTGACTTGGCGTACTTGGGATCGGATCCGGACATCTTTTGGTCTTGGTGAACGTAAGGTAGGAACGCCAGTTGAGGCAGTTACAGAATACCGGAATATAGAAGAGACGAGGAATTGCCTCTTCTCTTCAGGTGTGATGTATAACGAGTGATTTGGGCGGTCAGGTTCCCACTGATGGCTGGAGCTATTTTATGTTCAATGTTGATGAAGCATGAAGTATGAAGTATGGAGTATGGAGTATGGAGTATGGAGAAGCTACTGCGTATGCCTTGGGCCACAAAGGAGGGGCGGGGCTAAGCCACTTTCAGATCGAGATAGGGCCAACCCTGGGGTCTTATCTCATTCATTGCATGAAGACAAACTGCCTCAAATACTGTGCTTCAGGCAACCGCAAATTGCTATCTTTGATCAGGACCTGGAATCCATTTCGGCTCCCTGGAATTACCTATTCCACTTCTGCCGTACTAGGATTTGGCTATCGGCGTGGTGTTGACTGCTTCTTACAAGGTCAGGCTTATACCTGGGCTAGACAGCTCCAAGAAACCAGCAACCGGCCCCAGGAACACCTGCGAAAACAACGAAACGTGACGAAGCGTAGAATACGCTGGCTAAGGGGATAGGCGGGGCATCTTCCCGGATTCTGAAGTAGCCCTGTACCCGGACGTCCAGCACTCTTAATAGCGTTCCACCATTATATACCATTGATCTGTTGGAGTCTTCGAATATCTCTGTTAATATAATCCATGCACTCCTCCTCTTTCTTACCTCACATCTTTATCCTTACTGTATTCTTACGGCTAAATGCCGCAGGCAGATTTTTTTCAATATCTTATCTTGTATGTTCACTGTTTTGTGCCATTTTACATCGCAAGGCTGACTGTAGGCAGATTGGCCCCAAATTTAGGCTATGGATCAGCGCGTAAGGTGGGGATGTCAGGAATGTGCATTGACAGTGCAGCACATTGTGGCTGGATATCAAGCAAGTGTGCACTGCCCCTGATGCTAGCATGTAGGCGCTCACAACCCCTCCAGGCTTATTAATAGGGCTGTTCCTGGGGATGAGTTACCCAGCCGAACTCACGAACGTATTAGGCGGTCCATTCGATGTTCGACATGCACCGACCGAAACCACGTTCCAGAATCAGGGAAGAGGAATTGTCGGAAGAGCAAAAGCAGCCATTCGTCGAGCAATCACTACACCAGGATGAGGAAGATGGGCCAGATTTTGACACGGCGAGCGCTACAAGATCTGGATGCATTGTCGCCGTATCGACCGGCGTGATTCTCTCACTTCTTTGCTTGATATCCGGTGTTTACCTCCTCAGAACCAACCAGGCAACACTCGGCGCTTCGGCCTCCATCTCTACTTCTGGAAGAGAAGCCATGGCCCTAACGATCAACGTCATACTAGCACTCTGCACTGATGGTATGATGTTCGTGCATTCTGTCTCATTGCGTTGGGCATTGTATCGCGAGGGACGCCTGGAGTTCAACACCAATATCCGTCTCTTCACCAGCTCCAAAAGATTCGGCCCGAACAAATGGTACATAAACCTAGTGGCCCTAGCTTGCCTGATACTATCATACGCCTCTTCATCTGTTCTGCTGCTGTCTGACCAAGCTGTTTGGCTGTCTGAGAATGAAGACCCATTTCCATTATTGATTAACGGCACAGCCCTAATAGCCTTGGGTCTAGGTCTCACCGGTCAGGCCGTCATCGCCGTATGGTGCCTAGTGTCCAGCTACAAGTTGATACCGACCTGGAGCTCCAACCCGCTCAACACCGCGTCGGCCGTGGTGCAGAATGGTGGCCTCGCTCACCGTTCCGGGCGATGTATGCTATCAGTTCACCAGAGACAAATGTCAAGCCAAGAGACATATCCTATGGATCGACAAGGAAATATGTTCCAATTACAGGGCACGGTGCGATATATTCTCGCTTTACTGTGGTCACTCGCTCTTCTGGCCATCGCGTGGCCTATCGCCATCGCCGCTGTCTCCAAGTCCATCGGCAACGCCAGTGCTGCTGGCCAGGCCTCTGAACCTTTATGCTGGACAGTTGGATTTCAATGGAATAAAGACGCTCTTGCGTGCTCTCGCAACTATGTGACGCTGTCTATGTCCCCATATGCGAATGACCACAATCCTAACTCCGCAACGTTCTCGTATGGTGCCGAGGCTGTACTTTGTGTTCTCTTTGTCTGTCTTATCCAGGCTAGTCAGACCGTCGCATTGCACTATTTGGAGCTGTTCGTCAGCTTGTCCAGAGATGAAGGCATTTGGCGACAAGCTTACAGTGAAACAAGAGAGGCCCCAGGGACACAGTTGGCGACAAATCCATTCCGTGCAGCTGTCTCGAGTTGGGAGAACGCCGTTCTATTCATAGCCAAAGCGGTGCTGCATTGGATAATTGGTCAGAGCCTGATCCCTTCCGTTACCATGGAAGACTCCAAAGACATCGCCAAAGACATCGAGTCATTGGCCTCCATCCCTATCGAAGACCTGTCCGCTCATGTCGAAGACCTGTCGTTCAAACGCGGATTCCAGTTTGATATGGTATACTCGCGGTTGATTATATACGCCATACTAGCCGTCCTCGTGGCCGCTTTCGCGACATACCTGGCTCTCAGGCGACCAACAAGCTGTCAGCCTGCCGCGCTGGGACATCTGCCGACTCTTGTAGATCTCGTCGATGATTGGAAGACGGACCAGAGTGGCCGGATGTGGTGGGGGATAAGACTCCCGAACTAGAGGCCGGTCAGGTGCGGCACGCCGGAACATGCTGGGATAAGACGGTGCTTGGCCCGATATGTACTACTGCTAGATATGCCGGTGACTAACCTGATGCGGTCATTTCGGTGTCGATTCAACAGGTCAGGTTCCTCGAATTCTCAACGTAACGTTGCCGATTCGTAAGCTGTAGTTCGCTATGCCGTACCATTGCTTGCTAAGGCTCACAACAGGCTAGGGTCGCAGCAGCGATAGACACAAGACAGTCAGTCTAGTAATGAAATAACACGGCAACTTTAGGTCAGAAGAAGTGAGGAAGATACTATAATTAAGGTAGCTATAACCTGGAGAGGACAGAAGGAGTGTACATCATAAGGAAGTACTGAATAGATACACATGTACATGCATACACAGTAAATATAAAGAACTCAGTACTATCTTACGGCTATGTAAATAGAGTAAACATACACTAGAAGCAATATATCCTGAGCAGATAGGTTGAGAAAGGCCACATCAGCATAGCAGGCTTGGCGGGTGCATAATAGAGAGCTTGAGGTATCTTGAAGGCTTCACAGGACAGCATGGATCAAAGTCAACAAAGCTAAATATCAACGAAGCAAATAAAGATACAAAAAAACAAAAACATACAACAGCCGGGATTCGCTGGTGGTCACCCACCCAACTACTAACCGGCCGGCGTGTGGCTTAAGTACGGCTGAGCGGACGGGAAGCCCTGTTCTCCACACCCTATGGTCGTATGTATCTGAACCATATTCAGATAGACTTATATAGCCCTAGGGAATAGGTGAACGCTGCTTTTAGTGTCGCGCAACCTAGGGTAAGGACGCTGAGTGCGATATAGAAAGGGTGAGGGGTTCGGGTGAGTATCACTCTAATCCGCGCGACCACCACATTGACCTCTTAGTTCGCATAAAGATAAACACTGATTCGACGATCCTTATTTGTCTGAAACCGTCAGTGTCTTGGCATCTACACCTAGCCACCCAGCTTGCTTAAACCAGAGCGACGCAGTATGAGCACATTTGAATTGTCCTCGTCTGACTATCTCCTCTCACATATAACAGTAGGGAAAGGAAGAAAACCGTCGGAATATCAGTCGGGCCGGAAAGAACGAAGATGAAAGCCAGTTCGTGAAGAACAGCTACAGTGGGGGTTCAAAAGTATTTGGACCCCCTTATGCCGCAAAGATCACCGCTTTCCATTTTTGATCTATTCTGCCCCTATAGAAACTAGTATTTCGTATACCATCCATCTGCATCAAGGATTGCCTGCACACGGTGAGGCATAGTATTAGATAGATGCTCTAGGACCCTCTCATCAATTGCATGCCATGCCTCCTTTGCTGCCTCTATAAGATGCCTTAGAGTATCCTCAGTATCTGGAGCATGCTCAAGCTCTGGATAGCGCTCATAAATAATCACTTTCATAACAGCCCATAGATTCTCGATTGGATTCAGATCAGGGGAGTATGGTGGCCAGACCATAACCTGAATCTGCATATCATTAAGTAGGGACCTAATGATACGCGCAGTATGGACTGAGGCACCATCATGCATAAAGATATCACCAGGCTGAAGCAATTCAGGTAGAAAAGCTTCATATACAGAATGTATAACCCAGGAGGTTACCCCCCCCTTCTAGATTCAGGGTCGCCATCTAGAGGGACAAGGCCTGTGCGGATATTATATCCGAATCCAGCCCAAAACATCTTCTTTACACCCTTTCCACATCGAATACCGTGCACATCATGCTCAATAAGTTGTTGAGATGGACTATTAAATGTCCATACAGGTTGAACACCTTTACCACGCTCAACTGAGCATTCATCTGTCCATTTCACCCGTCTCCAATCATCAGGTGTATAATGAGCGTAAGTCTGAGCCCATTGTAAACGCTTAACAGCATTCTCTTCTTTGATTTCTGGTCGATTTCGTTGCTTCCATTTGCGCATATGTAGACTCCGGAATAGTCGACGAACTGTGCTCTTTGATGGGGAGGTATCAACTGCAATCTGCAGCTCACGCATCTTAATATGAGGATCCTTAGTTGCAAGATCAAGTAGATAATTCTGTTGCTCACTGGTTAAGACTTTTGGACGACCACTTCGGGCTAAGGATTGCTGATCATTGCGTTGATTCTCTTTTTTAATGGTATATTGGATGGTAGAGAGAGGTATCTGGGGATATCGTGTATGAATACGCTTGTATCCCCATCCAATATCATGCAGCTCACAGATTCGAGCACGAATAGTAGGTGTAAGCTCCTTAGATCGAGCCATTTAGATGTGTGTTGGAATAAAATCAAATCGCGTACGCAGGCATTGAGGTGGCAGAATAGTTAGAATTGGAAAGCGGTGATTCTAGCGGCAAAACGGGGGTCCAAATACTTTTGAACCCCCACTGTATCAGTGACGATTTGGGGGCACTATCCCCAGAATCCGACGGCCAATCATTCTTCAGGCAGAATATAAGTCAATCAATTCTCTACTAGTTCCGCGTTGACGAAATGCAACCTCAAAATTAGAGTCGACGACTGAGATCTTTTACCAAAACAGTCTCTTAAGTGTTTCCCGCCAAATCTATGATACAGCTTACGATCTGCATTATAATATGTATCTGTGTTGAAAGCAATTGACCCAATATATAAAGAGCTCTACGTACATTACATGCTGCAACTAAGCGTGAATTGGGACAGAAGCAAAAAAAAAGAAAAGAAAAAAGAAGGCCCGAAGCGCGAGTCGAACGCGCGACCTCTCGCACCCAAAGCGAGAATCATACCTGGTTAAATTGTTAGTGGGAAAATTAAAGTGGCGTAATATATGAGAACATACCACTAGACCATCCGGGCTGTCAATGTGGCAAAAGTTCAAGCATTATCCATTGAAACTAGCCATTAAATGGGAAGGAAGCGGAAAAAAGGAAAAAAGAAAGGCCCGAAGCGCGAGTCGAACGCGCGACCTCTCGCACCCAAAGCGAGAATCATACCTGATTTAACTGTTAGTGGGAAAATTAAAGTGGCGTAATATATGAGAACATACCACTAGACCATCCGGGCTGTCAACGTGACATTAACGTGTCACAGAAGGTATAAATTCTATATGCTATGAACACCTCTAGGAGTCAAGGATCTTAGGAGCCGATCACTCCTAAATCAAGACTAAGTCCTAATCTTCCCAACTGTATACAGACTCTTCTCCCGCGGTAGCAACTCGAACCGCACAATAAACAGATGGATGGATCACACCTATTTCCTAGCCTCCGGAGATTTAGAAGATGACATGATCCCATATTATAAGAAGCCTGCCATTTAGCAACTGAACGGGCCACAAAGCATGCATCTCAGCATCTGTCTTCAACCGCAAGAAATATACATTAGTTCACTTCATCAGTTGAAGTACCAAATATCTCTCCAGTACTCAGCACTACATCTCCCAGGGGACATTACCATCAAGCCTATGGGGGATCAGAATGGGAGAGATACCTTGGCTTCTGGCTCGATCCAGGCCTCGCCTTCGTGAGCCATCATCAGAAGGTGATTACCAAAGCAGGCACTAGCCTACAAGCGCTACGCAGTGTATCAGGATCTACATAGGGAGCCATCTCTTGGGGCCATGAGACGGATTAATAACCAGCCATCATACACCAGTTCTTTTTCAGTGTGTCACCATGGTGACATCCAACCATGCTCACAAAGAAACAGAGGTAAGGAGCAGGTGGGGGAACTTATATATCCAAATCAATGAACATATAGGCAAGAAGGCTAAGGTATTCCTAAGGGTAAAGAGTGAGATATGTAAGGGTAGCTTACTTAGACTTAGACCTTAATATTACCTGGGGGTGGAGTCTCAGTTCCAGAGAAAGTAATTCTCACTCCGTTCTTACCTTTCTTACCCCTTCCCTTGTCTTCGGAATTTTCACCTATATCACCCACTCTCACCCTAGGGCAGTCTACATTGCTGTTCTAAAGAGACAGGAGTGTCAAGGGCACTTTAAGCATTGGCTATACACAATATGTGGCTTAAGTACAGCTGAGCGAATGGGAAGCCCTGTTTTCCACGCCCTATGGTTGTATGTGCTAAGACTTGGTCTGCAATAAATTATATGCATCTCGTCTTACGCATTATGACTGTCTAACGCGGCATCTCCATAGTTCATTTATCCTCCTGTCATTTGTATTTCTCATGGCCCACTTGTAAATACTGCCTTTGGGAAGGGCAACAATGGAGGCAAGTATGGAAGCCACTGACTGCCATCGGAAAAAGAGCTGCACAAGCTTGGGAGAGCAGTTTCCTAGACAAACAGAGCCATGGCCCAGCTACAAAATTCGATGCAATGCGGGGTAAGTAGATAATGATTGGCAATGTTTTGACACATGAATACCCCTCTATCTTACCTTGATACAAGCAGCATCTGTCCAGACCTATCCCCCTTGCGTCGAAGATGCATATTAGCTGGGACAACCCAGACGAGAATTCTGTAGATACTGTCTAGTGTAACAGTGCACTTATCAATCTCTATTATATACCCATGCTATCCTGTAGACATAACTTGCAGGAGTTACAGCGTAGTATGCACTTGTTGTCCTTCTAACCAAGACAACAAAGCTCTTTTCGTGAGTTTGCTTCTGCCGATCTTTCGTTCCAATGTAAACCGGTTGGGACCCCCGCAGTTGGAATCAAGGTCTATGCAGACCTCTGCTAGCGCTGTTCGCGATTGCTCTAATGGCGTACGGCCACAGTCATGTATTTTACCAACTATCGAAGAAGAGCTCCATGCGTGGGTACGTATGCAAGCTCAGCTGACTACTCCTGGATAGGTCACAGAATGTGCATCTTCTTGGGCCACATATGGGTCTTCTTGCATTAGCATACGATCTCAATTTTCAAAGTCCACCATGTATCTAGATAAAGGCGTCTGAATGTGGTGCGCCATAGAACCTGCGCTCGAATGGGTCTTTTGCCGACAATACTCCTCTGTGAAATGATTAGCAGCGGGCTCTCGCTGCTCAATGCTATCTACAGCGGGTCTGTCCCTTGGACGGAAGCGAAGGCGTGGGCTTGGCGGTGCAGTAGGACTATGTTCTACTACATGAGCCATCAGCAGAGCCCATATTCGACTCTAAAGGAGCAAAGAGATTGAAAGTCTCAGATAATCGAGAGTAGGCCTCTATTGTGCAAATACAGACTACATACACCGAAAGGCATCTGTTTGTGTCCATGAAAACCCGTCTATGCTTGAAATTCGAGTGATGCACGAGCCCCGGCCGAGCCAGAAATTTGGGGTATTCGAAATAAGTGTGAAAGATCAGACCCATAGCGGAAGAGCTACGCTCATACACCCGGGTCCCATTCAAAGGAAAGATGCAGTCTTGCAAGTGGGGTCCCGACCACCGCTTTGAGCAAGAAAGCTTCTCATAAAACTGAAAAGGCGGACGAAAGGAATCCATTCCAGTGGCTCCCTAATGACCAGGGCGTTTGCTGTCATAACATCGTGTGAGAAAAAAAATCGAGCTGAATGCAGAACATCTAAGTCGTTTTAAGCGCTTTCGATCTGCTGAAGGCACTGTTCGAACTCGCTCCAGTCCTTCATGATCACCTTAGCACCGAGTTCCTCGAGACGCTGGGCCATCTCAATCCTTTTGTCATCACCAGGGTAGCTGCCGACGTAACCAATGACTGGGATACCGGCACGGATGGCACTCAGAGCACCAGACTTGCTGTCCTCGATGGCAACCACTTCTTCGGGCTTCTTCTTACACACCTCAAGGGCATGTAGGTAGATAGCAGGATCAGGCTTGGAAGTGGGCTTGGGGAGGGAGCTAGCAGCGCTGAAGATAAGGTCTTCATCGAAGTATTTGTCCTGTCCAACCTTCTTGATGGAGGCTTTGACACGGCGCAGGGCGGAGGAGGAGACGACAGCAAGGTCATACTTCTTGGCCTTGAAGATCTTATCCAGTTGCTCGTTGGCCCCAACGCAAGGCTGTGCCTTTTCGTTGAGCTTGCCGATGACCTCGTCCTCCTCCTTTATGACGTACTCCTCGAGTTCTTCCTTGGACATCTCAAACTTGTATTTGGCTTGCAGAGAAATCATCATTCCCCGGAAGTTCTGACCGACGAAGTCCTGGATCAGCTGCCCGCCTGTGTAGCGATCAGGGATGTTGCGCTTCTCAAGGATCTCATTAGCAAGATCCGCGCATGCTTCAAAGGCCAGCTCTTCCGACAGGACAAGAGTGTTGTCGCAGTCGAAGAAGATTCCCGTGATCTGCAGCAATGGTAGTGTGGTCAGCAGGTCTGTGAATCCATGATTTCATGTGAGGCAGAGAGCAACGAATGACCGACCTTAGGCATGGTGGCAGTTCAGCTGAGAGATTCTGTGTTATAGGGGCTGTATAGAATCGTGTGAAGATGTATGGAGATCTGAGGTTTTGCACGAAGTCTGCTTGAGGGGAGATGAAGTGAGATGAAGTGGGTAAAGTAGCCGCGAAGAAACTCAAATGGAAGTTGTTTGGGTAAGTGGGAAGGGAACGAATCGTGGGAGTGGATTGGACCGGGATCAAGTAGGAGGCAGGTGGCAAACAACAACGGCTGGCCACAATCCTTAAGTAGTTTGGGAAAGAGCTTTCGACGGACACTTAATACTAAGCTGGGAATGCAATGACCCCCGTTCAATCCACCGGTGATTCCAAAAGGGACGAAATCAACAGAAATACATGTCTGTTTTCAAAGTATTCACCTATCAGAGCTCGAATTCCGACTATGATACTATCCGGGCAGGAGCGGGACTGGTGGGGTTCCTGATACCTGAGGTCATACCATGACGTTACTTCGGCTGCTGCGACTGAATGTGTTGAATAATAGTACGGAGGCCAGCCTTGGTCGCGCGGAGGGGGACGGGGCCATCGTGGGCTTTGCTCACTGGGTCAGACGCTAGAGGCGGTCTGCTAGGCCTATGACAACAAGCACCCGCTGCCATTCTCGTTTCAGTAACGCTCAGTTTCCTCGTTCCGCTCTACTTGATCTAATCTAGTGGTTTCTCTGGATGGAAGACAGAAAGCCACAGAGCCAAATCGAATAGATCGAGTCTGGGCTGCCTCAGATATAGTGGAGTATCGCCTGAGGCTATTCAGACTTTCGTGGCTTACCAGGCTTACCACTGGGTCTTCCCAACCCATTGTTTCCCTGTCTTTTTCTTATGTCCTTTTCGATGGCTTTCTTGTAGTTCTCCGAATCTTGGAATCTGATTTTCAAGATTGTTCCACTCCATACAAGCAAAAATATTCATCTATAGCATATGAACAATGGGGAAGAGGGATGGGGAAGACAAAGTTTGTGATTTATTATACGTCTTAAGGGTGCTTCTATCTGCAGACGCATGACTGGGGTGCCCCAACACAATATATATGATTCATGCGAAGGGCTCAAATCGGTCAAGATATCCCAGGATCAAAGACCCAAACACTGGCACTAGGAGAGGAGACAAGAGTATGGCCGGTTGTCACACTCATGGAAAGCTCATCCACGAATAAGCTGAATATGTTGGCCTCCTGTTGCGCTCTACTGCGTTTGGTCTGGCCATGTTGAAATAACTTGGGCCTTCCCATGCCTGTGATTGTAACTTGCATGCCCCACAGTCTCCTCCGATTTGATCATTCAACAGGTTGGGCGGATAGCACACGGTCTTGTTCAACACATAGGTACTTGGGCCCCTTAGCTACACAACTGTAGGTAAGCCGAATGTACCCAAGATATATCAATACCTACCCAGGTATTAAGGTATTGTTCTGGCGTAGGTTTATATAGAAGAACAAGCCACTCAAGCAGTTGGGTAAAAAGAATTAGCCTCTTGACCCAGCAAAAATTCCTTGGGTGCTAATTGGCTCATGCTTGCACAGTGAACTTAACCATCCAATCAATCAGGTTCGGCCGTTAGGCCCGTCCTCTGCTAACCCACACTTTGATGTGGGATAACGTGTATGCGGTATGTATCTTACTTTTTCTTGTTCATATATTATTATTCTGAAGTATTATCCTGGGAACCTCATTATTGGTGCTTATTGTCATTAACTAAACTACGCGCCTTTTGGTTTCAGTCTGCATTTCGTTTCAGAGGAAAAGAGGCAATGCCAGAAAACACGGGGGTCATTCCGACCAATTTCCTGTGTCCGTCTCATCCCTTCATTTCCCCTCCGCAGCGCAATCCATTTCTCGAACTTTGTCGTCGCTGCGACGATCAGCGCTGTCTATTTCCAACCGCCTTCGTTCAATTGAGTCCGATGCTGCCTTCGTTGCAGAGGTTGCCGAACACTACGGCTTGCCTCTAGTCGCCAACGAAAGATGCGGGAGTTGGTACATTTCGCCGGATATCAAAGCTGGTAGTGCCTATTTCAAGAGCACGGACGGCCATACCGGCCAGTGGGATTTTAGTTTTCGTAGACTGAATCTACAAATATTACCACTTGCTCGGCAACATGGAGGGTGAGTGAGCATTGACTATCACTGTTATCGCCTCCCGCTGAAGCTTGGGCTAGTGTTAACTAAACTTGCCAATGATCACTGCAGATGTATTATTGTCGATTCCACGCGTCGGGGTAAATGTAAGTTTGCTTTTTGAATTTTTTGTTCAGTCCGCAGCCTGGTCTTACGAGGCGCAGTGATGCCCGATGCCTTGTCTAAGACGGTTCCAATATGGTGCGCTGTCATGAATCGAGCACTTTTCCCATCCGATGCTGCATATCATGCAGTACAGCTTCCGCCGAATTATCTAGGCGCCTCGGAGGAATCGCAGATTGAACTCCGGATTGATGGTTTCGTGAAATCACTCAAGGTATTCTTTTCTGTCTACCATCACTATACTCTTTTAAGCCCAGCAGCTTTAGACTGACTGAAGGTCCAGGATCTCAAACTTGATCTGGATGATCTCAGGCAGCAACTTGGAAAGCCTATTCGGGTGGCATGGGCCAATCGGTCTTATTTTTATCCTACCGATCTGCACAAAGGACCCGACTACAACCTTTTCGTTCTCTGCTCTGCGTCCAAACGAGTTCACGGCGCAGAAATTTCGGAGGGCGGCTACATTCAAGGCGCAGGGGATGACAGTGAGGGCTGGGCCCAGGGGTTGACTCCGCCAGTCTTCTGGGCCCACAAAGCGACTCTCCTGAAGACGCCCGAGGAGGATTTGCCCGAACTGGTCGAAGAACTGGTGAAAGAGCATCGAGGTCAGGATACTGCTGAACAAGCCACATTGGTTGCGCCTACTCGGAATCTTTACATCAGTCAAACGAACGCCAGTATCAACGACAGTGGTCTCTATGATCTCGTAATTGATTGCAATGCCAGACCCGCGGCCTCAGAAGGAGACCCAAAGCGGCTCTACCTTGGATGTAGGTCGTCAAAACTGGGAAGCCGCGACTTGAGACAAGAGCTCGAAAAGGTTCGAGCTTTTGTCAGTTCCCAGCTCGCCACCGATCCTTCACGATCACTACTAGTTACCTGTGAAACTGGTAAAGATCTCTCCGCTGGTGCCCTGCTTGCTATCATATGTCTATTCTACAATGATGATGGTATGCCATTTTTCCGTACACCCACTTGCCTTTCCTATCTTCGTTCACCACCTCGTTTTCTCGTCCTTTCCTTTTTTTTTTTTTTCTGACAGTTCTTAGGGTCTTTCACAACATCCCCAGCGAGGCGATCAATAGACAAGCAATTCATACGACAACGTCTTGCCTGGATCGTGTCATCAAAACATGATGTGAACCCGTCGCGCCCTACACTTCAATCGGTCAATGCATTTCTGATGGAACGACCGGATTATTAAGACCAACAGATTGCATCTTATCATTAAAGCCGGGCGTGGAACGCTACATATCAAACAGGATCATTCTATCTACTCATTTTCGACGGCCTCCACGATAGCTCCAGCGCTTCCTTGATCGAGGGCATTCAATACCGCCATATCCTCCTCACCAATCTCAAAATCAAATACGTTGGCATTAGCCACAATCCGCTCGGGGGTGTCACTCTTGGGCAACGGAACCCATCCTTTCTGCAGCGCGTAGCGTATCAAAATCTGTGCCGTCGTCCTTTCGTACTTCTTGGCCACGTCGACTAGCGTTGGGTCATTGGATTTATAGTTTCGCACGAGCGGGGAATATGCTTCCACGACGATGCCGTTCCTCTTGCAATATGCATCAATGACTCGCTGTTGGCACCAGGGATGAAGCTAAAGAGCGCATAAGGTCAGTATACCTCAGGTGCTGGCCATAAACGCCATAGAGCTTACCTCAATCTGGTTTACGTGCGGCGGCCAGACCTTGGCGTATGCCTTCATCTCCTCGATGTGCTTCACCCCAAAGTTGCTCACACCGATGCTCTTCGTTTTGCCTTCCTCCAGAAGCCTCTCCAAGGCCTGCCAGAGCTCTTTCCGGCCGGTTGAACCAGAGCTTGAGCTATGAATGAGGAACAAATCCACGTATCCATCCTGACCGCCAATCTTCTCGACGCTTTCTAGTAGCTTCTGGTACGTAGCTTCGGGGGACCCGGCTGGGCTCAGAATTTTCGTAGTAACGAAGATCTCGCTACGAGGGATGCCGCACTTGCGGAGAGCTTCCCCGACCTCCTTCTCGTTGCCGTAAAACTGGGCAGTATCAATGTGTCGGTATCCCGCTTCAAGGGCCTTCAGTGATGACTGGACACATTGGCCGGTGGGAGAGCGGTAGACACCGAACCCAAGGCGGGGGATCTTGATGTCGGAATTGGGGCGAGGCAGTAAGTCCGTGATGGCAAGTTTCGAAGACATTGTGTTTGTGACTCGGCGGGAGTCAATTGATGATGGTGACCGAGGAACTGCGCTCGAATATATTCAGTTTCTGAAGCTTATAAGTTGGCCAGAAGAGTGACTCGATGACATGGATATGGAGCGGGGAGAGGAAGATTTGGTAGGCGCTTCTGGTTGGTGTCCAGCCGCTCCAACTTGCCCCGCCGTCGGTCTTGGTGCAAATGATATCATTCCCTAGGCTTCTCAGGTGATTAACTATTGTTTATTAGTTATTATTGCCGATTGAACTAAGCACTTTTGCTTGCAGATATGTATTATTTCTCCCTAGCGTGACTGTATCCTTGTCTTCTCCCGTCTAAGGTACACTTCGCCTCGAGATATGAAACTTGGTCCTCCAGAAGGTATCCTAAGCACTGAATCCCCTGATACCCCTTGGGCTCGAGAGGTACTCGAGAATGTAGATCGGCTGTCCTGACTCCGCCCTAGTTGTCGTGTCCTTGGATCTATGCGAACCGTTGTAACCGCGTCAGTCAAGACGACACATGGTGGAGGAATGTGGCATTAACGTTTGGGGTCATTCCCTGTAAAGAGCAAGCTCACACTGCAAGGCTCCAGATGTTCTGTCTCCATTCTGTCTAGATAGTACTTAGATGAGCTCTCGTTAGGGCCGATTAGGACCGAGTGGATATGTGAAAAACAGCATTGCCGCCATATCCTGGGTCCTGTTGGCTGGGATCGAGGATGATAGGTAATCAGTGTCTCCAGAGCACACCTTCTGAGCTTCGCAACATGTAAGCAAACATTGTCAGAGTTTTCTATATATCAGATAGCTCACCTATGAAAGAGATGAAACCGGTGCAAATTGATGAGGTAACGAGAGAACAAATTAGGGAGCCTCAAG